TTTCTATTTTTCGCGTTCGATTTTTATGCGTTATTTTTGACATCTCTCATATGTACATCATGTGTATTATATGGTTTGTAAGACGTATATACTAGCTGTGATCGCGATGACGGATGTTTACTGGCACAACACGTTAAAATAAAAACAATATCAGCGTGCGCGTAGCGCGCGCCTGTGTTGTGCTAGTGTATATAAATTGTAATTACAAAACTTCAGTTCAGAAAATATTGTCCTAGAGGACGGGACATGAATCTCTAAGAAAAACAAAAGAACGTAATAAACTAATGATTATCTTGATATATTGACATTCTATATATTTTGTCCTCTCTAATAAGGATATTTTTCAAGAAGAATCAGTTATCTTGGAACATTGATTAAGACGCGGTGTATCCATTTATCAAACCATACATGGCGCGCGATCGAAGGCGCTTTAATGCAAAGCTTGTGAACATCACTCATCGCTCATACAACTCAAAGTGTTGGAGCGTCACGCTGTCATCGCAATATCAGAATGTCTCTCCTTGTCTCATCTCCATTACACATACTCATCGCTTTGCCATCCTCAATTTGTCATACGTCTAGAACACCCGATATAGCAAAAGACACGGCCTGTAAAGTTATTTTCCGTAGACCGATATTGATGTTCTTCCTAGAACGCACATTGTTTATCTAAAAAAGAAAAAAGTAAAACTGATAAACATGTAATAAAAGTGTAATAAAATATAAAACGTTATATGTACTTGCTCTATGTACGATTATATCTAATAGAATTATATAATAATATAATAGTATTCTACAGTTTGTGTGTGTGAGATGTGTGAATCATAGAACTGCGAAACAAAGAACATATACTGTCTCAGATGAAAAATTGCGATGCTTTATCATTACCTGATAATGGAAGGTCGTTCCGCCTCATCGCGTAAGAAGTATTAATTATCCTAAATGAGAAATTCTCACCCCCCTACGCCTCTTCCCACGCCCAAGTTAGGTATTCTGTGGTTAGAGCAATTTCTTAATGCAGCATTTCTTTAATGAAACTCATCTTCTTGAGATACTCTCTCATTCCTAATTTCTAGCGCTCTCGTATGTGTAACACTCGAAGAAAGTTGTCAAATCATCATGCGTGTTAGAAGAATACCACTTTTTTACCGCATTTATTTCGACGTCCGTGATTTAGGATGTTTCTTTGATTTCTACAAGGGATTGTAAGAAAATATACGAGACGTACGTATCTTCGATAAGGCGGATGCCAGCGCGTCGCGCCGCGCGCGCACGCGCATCATCCCTTGCTTTAATTTATTCCCGTCTAACGTGATAATAAAGTGCATCGCGAATTCTGTATCCGGGGAATCCTGGACGATCTTTCGTGAAAATCGGGCGAAGGTACCTCTGGGACTGGCGAGAGAGAAAATAAAACTAGGAATCAGACGGCACGGCGGGCACGACGCGCATCGCCGCCGAGAGGAAAAACGGGGCAGCAGGAGGGAAAAGTGCGACAGGTAGGCGGATTCCCGCAGGAACAACTGGAGATGTAAATCAATGGGTGATAAGGGCGGCTGTCCCACAGGAAGGGAGAAGAGTTGCTCCCCTGTATTCTACACACTAGTACTCGAAAGGAGAATGGAGAGACCGGATGGCTGGGCTCGTACCAGAGAAAGGTGGATCCTTGCCCCATGGAAATGCCTCGTTTTCAAGAATTATTTATTCGTCGACTTTCGGACGAAAATTTTCGCTCTTAAGTGGCCCTCTCCACGGTTCCGTCGTTCTTCTTTCAGCCGCCTTTGCCGCCTCATCCGTAAACTCTCGCCAACCCCTTTTCTTCTGCCGTCGATTGTGCCGTGCCGTATCTTAGGATAAGAACGACCCGATGGTGTTCTCGAAACTTCGATGAGTTGAAGGAAAGCGTAGAGTCGTTCGTTCGTTCCGTGTGGATGTTATTTATTGAACAATCGTAAAAAGTTTTACGTATACACGTTTTGTTATTTAATAGTCGTGTTTTCGTGTTATATCAGGTTTTTTTTTACGACGAAGCAAAACACGCGTGCTCTTGTAATAATCTACGTGTGAATTGTTTGACATTTGCTTGGACAAATAACAGTTGCATATATCGAAAATATTTCTCTCTATTCAAAACACTGTTTTGCTATTTCTATTAATTAAGCTATGAATCGAAAACTCTTTCGCGATATTAAGTACATCACTTGCACATTGTTGGCGCGGTGCATAGACCATTTGCACTCTAAACGCGACCGGGACAGCTGCAAATCGCGGCTGATTGCTTCGGGGATCTCTCGATTTCGACGAGAGACGTACGATTCTCGTTTGCGAAATTTAAACACATCGGTTAATAGCCGCGAGAGATAGTACTAACAGCGCAGGTGGTCAGATAAAACGCAAAACATCGCTAGTGACACGTAATTAGTGGCTGGGAATTGTCGTGATGCAGTGCCGCGTGAATTTATACTGTTCTTTCGTATTTGTTTTTTTTTTTTGTCTTCTTTTTTCTTATCCCAGTTTTGTTTTGTTTATATGAGTTATTCGATACTTTCTTTCTTCAATTACATTGTACCGCGGTTATAGTTTGTAAAAATCATATAAAGTGAGAGAGAGAGAGAGAGTGTGTCACGAACGTTAGAATCATTGTTTTCTCTCTTCTCGCCATTCAATTAAGACAAAGATTATCGGCCTTTCGGAACTTACTCTCGAGTCTTCGCTCACGTAGAGAGGCGAGCTTTCGTGTGATATATGCCGCAGTTCTATACGTGGAAATCGAGCCGCTTAGGTCGACGTGTCGTTTGTAACCTTAATGTCTGCGAATCGTAATAACGATCATTCCTTTGAAACATTGAGAATTCTTTTTTTCTCAATTATCTGTGTCGTCTATAAAGAGAAAAAATATAAACGTTATAATTAAACAACATTTTGACGCGACGTGTCTCTTTGCCGAAAACACTTAAATGTCAATCGAGTTCAATCGTCCGTAATTCTCTTATTTGTTTGATTTAATTCTACGTGAGATTGTTACGTATATAACTACTTTGTGTGATTAATTTAACTGTTTAGCCTGAAGTTGCTGAACTCTTCGTTTAAGTCATCGTTTAATGAGATTTCCCATTTATTGATATATGCCTGATCGTGCGTTAAATCCTACGCTCGCGCAATTCCACTGATGCGTCACGTCAGTCGTGCATCTCGTTGCGGCCGTGCGATCAATCGTTGCCACGAATTATTCAATGTTATCGTTATCATAAATTCGCCGCGTGTCCTGTTCACGCTCGCGGACCACCCGGAATGATCTTGATAAATTATCGCGCCGGGGGTTGCAATACTGTCGGCTGCACGAGACATAGACGCAAAATTTTTGTGCACACACGCGTGTCAAAGCAATAGAACGCAAACATATTGAAATATTCGAATCTTTTACTATATGTGCGTGCTATATTTCAATATTATAATCAAATATTGACGATACAGAAAACGTTATGGATACGTCCAATGAACTAGCTGTTTTTGAAGTTTTTCTCCATTAAAAGCGTAGAGTATATTTATATCAAACTAATGTGTGTATGCACACGCGCACCTGTGTGTTGGTTATATTGGCAAAAATTTTAAAATATTGCGCGACATGTACATACAGATAATATAATCTCAATATTCTCAACTTTTTTATTAACACGCGACACAGATATATTTGGCACGGCGTATATTATTTTCATGTTGTTTACGTCGCGAAAATTTTATATGCGCGTTTCATTTTTATATTTGCATAGAAAAATGTGTTGTTCCGGAGTTTATAATGCAAAAAGTTTAAGGCGATAACTTTTATTGCGGACTTCTGCGCGAACAGAAATGTATAAGCGTCATGGTTAGCTGACGTGATAAAGTGATTCGCAATCGATCCTTTTTAATGTATTTCGACCAGTTTTAGGAGAATGAATCAATCGTTATTTTCGTGTTTACGAAAGTTGAATGTGTGCACAAGCAAAAAATAACTTATAATTTCCAATTAACTCGCATCAAAATAACTCAGTCTGTGCATACAATAAAAGCGCGTGTACACGAAGTTTGAGATAATTAATTAAGCGTTCCATTATTTTGTCACTCATAATTCATCTCTTCTTGCGCGTATCAGGGTTAATATATGTAAACGTACGCAATAATCCAATTTACACACCATCGCTACTTAGTATGTAAATACGAAATTGATGGTTATGTATGTGTGTGTGTGTGTGTGTGTTCGTAATTTAATTATTTTCATACACGCCACATGAGTGCATATGTGTCGAATGCATAATATACAATTCAGCATTAGTCAACATTATTATGTGTTGTATATAATTTTATTCAATTCATTAACAGAGAAATAATCTGCCAAATATATTGTTACAATCTGCTTTAAAGTGTGTGTATGTGTGTGTGTGTGTGTGTGTTATAAAAGTAACAAAAAAAACTAAGAGAGAAACGTGGTAGTTTTCTCGAGTTCAATAATTTAATATTTTAAACGCGCGAAATATTTCTCAGGAGAACGTACGATTTCATATTTTGTTTTCTTTCAAACGTTCTTCGAAACGCGCAAACAGGTCGTTTACTGTTGTTGCATTTGCTTTATAAAAAAAAAAGATGGTTTTATATACAAAATATCACTTGAGTTCCGACCGCGAGGCCATAAAATACAGATGTCTACAGTAGATACGATTTTGTAGACTCAGCTTCCTAAGAAAGAGGAAAATTCGTTTCGTTGCATACTGAAATCTCCTACCACGCGGTCTTGACGTATACATCTTTTCCACGTAGAGCATTACGTCGTTGTGAATGATCATTTATCTCAGATTACAACGTTACTCCGTCACGATATTCGGTCGTGATATTTTTTTTTTTAATACTCGCCCTTAATATGACTTCAGAAACACATTAACGTTGCATAAACGATTTCACCGTGAAAACTCAGTTTGGAAGAGTACACGAGAAAGTTTCCGTAATCTTACTATGGCGAGATAAAAAGGGCGGAAAAAAAGATGAGTTAAAAAATTCACTCGTGTCTGGTTTGAACTGAAGAAAAGTTTGCTTGTTCGAATATCCGCATTCTTCTGGGACCGACTAGAAGTGAAAAAAAAAAAAAGAAAAAGAAAACACAGCAATGAAGGCGCTACGTGAGGTTCGTAGGTAACATTTAAAATGTTTCGAATGAGTGACCGAGCCAGGCAACTTTTATCGGATAACAGTATATGTGGCAGAGAAATTTTTCAAAGAAGCTTCCATTATGTGCAGCACCTCGCGGAGATTGGACTGCATCTTTTACAATCGGTTCGTGAATATTTGAGGTTCTCTGCGAAACGGCAATACACACGGTCGAACATATCTAAAGCGCGGAAGTTCTGCAAGGATATCAGGTCAGAGACATTCAAATGAAATGAGGAAAATTGTTATCCTTTTTTTTTCATCATTTTAAGAGTTTTATTCACACTCCATGCTTCGATTAGGATAACGCGACAATCATCTTACTCCTCCGAAATTCTGCTTCCACGATTCTCGTTCGTGTTTAACGAATTTTCATTGAAGCACACTCGCGATTATTTAATAAACGTAGCGATATTACTATTCCTCGATTCCGGAAATTTAATTATCCTCAAACGAAGGGAATCCATCAACTCTGTAACCCAGAAAGTATAACTGAATTTTAATGATCCATATGATTATCACTGTGACAAAGGTCTCAATTTTCACAGTGTAATAATAATGATAGTATCGAAATCTGTTGAAATAATATCTGAAATTCTTTTTCGGCGATTCTTCTTTCTCCTCTTTCTTGGTCTCTTCTACCTCGTCAAGTAATTCATCTTTTACATCGTTTTGCAGCTTTTGTCCTCCTGTTCACAATAGATATGGAAAATTAATAGCTCGAAGAAATATTAAAACATTGAGTAATTAACGTTTACTTTGTCCGGTGGTTTCTTCAGCATTCTCCATGATGTGAGATGATATATGTATTTTTCTACAAGCAATAATAATTTTCTGGTTAACATTAATCTGCTTTTGAAACAAAATTGAAAATGTTGAGGTGAAAGAGACATTTTTTTAATGCAATAATATAAACGTGAAAAACAATGTTATATTACTGCATTAATTGTATTTTTGAAAAACTACAATTTTTTTATCATTGTGTTATTTCACATCGCATATCCGTTTTTACTTCAGATTTGTTGATAAATGCTTGATTTATCTGCTTACCTGATTCTAATACGGATAACGTGGAATTGTGGCAAAGCTCACAAATTTCACAATGTATATGCAAAAACACGCGTAACAGCACGACACGATCGATAGCCTTCGAGCAAGAAGAATCGCGTGAAAATTACACTAATTGCAATTTTTATCGAAATTGCAAAAATAATTTTTTTTTTTTTAATAAAATTTCAGAGAAGCAATTCTCTGTTATAACTATAAACCGTGACTAAAGCTTTAAACAAGCCGATACCGAACTGGCGAATTGCAATGTGAACTTTGAAACGCCGCGGCGAGCGTATATCGAACTTTTCATTTAACGATGTACTTGAAATCATATGAGCTGTTTCGCGGACACGAATAGACACCCTTGTGTGTGTATATAAACGTATACATATACGAACTTCTCACGTTTACCGTGAGAACACTATCGGCTGAAATGACGACGTAAAGGCGCGCAGCTGTTAAATACAACTTTATGCCGATTAGATAGCGTTGGCCACCGTCGATATACCGCGTTTTCCTATTTTAGACGGGCTTATGTGTTCGCGGTAAAGACCACTCCGTAAGACACCCACGTTTAATCGAAATATTATCACCTTGCGAAAGTGACAGGCAAATTCTGTCGTTACTGGAGAAAACTTTTTTGGGTTTTAATTAACAATGGGACGCAATGATAATGACATTTTAACGTATAAAGTTATAAAACATACACAAAGATGTTTCTGACGTTAAACTAGATAGAAAAGAAAAGACTATCTCGTATAAACACATATACACACACAGTTTGACTATATTCGTGCGTTTAATATAATACATATTAACTTGTAACATATGAGAGAGACTATTAGATAATGTTTATATTAATTTTGTCGAGCATTTCTATACGATGCGGTCGGCGGGGTCAATTAGAGAAGAGTCTGTTTTCTTAATTAGAGAAACAAGCGGTCAACAAGCGATTCATAGTCGCCGGAGCGCTACGAAACATTTCGAAACGCACGACAAAGCCGACTCACACTGAATGAAAATTAAACCAGCACTTTAACGTCTGCTTCGCAGAGAGACAGATAATTACGAGGATAGCTTGGGAATTATATTTTTGCGTTACGTTTCTTCTCTTATTATAGAAAACAATGGTCTGGCGTGTATTCTCACTCTCTTTCTCTCTCTCTTTCTTCAAAATGTCACTTCGTGACGGAGCTTTCGATAGCTCGCAAGAGAATTCAAGGTGAATCGAATCTTGAATTTTTCACAAGCTCCCAGAGGTCTAACAAGCAAAAACACCTCCTTCTATATACTTCTCTGGTCTTGTTTTGCAAACCTCATGACTCAGTGGAATAAAAAAAAATCTGTGAAAAGTTTTTCTCTCTCAATCTCTCTTTGATATTTAATACATCACTTCTGTTTGCTATAAAATATCAGAATCGCCGTGAAATATTGATGAGCCGCGTGTGTCATCACGTTATCCTGCTCGCTATCGGTTATTTGTATATATATTTGCCGTATCGTATAAAAAAGTAAGAACACAGGCGCCAAGTATACGCACAACACGTGTTTGTACTTAAATTAAAAAATTGATTTAATACTACAAACAATTCTTTTTCTATAAAATCTGTTCTGCAACATTATATACTACAAAACATTCTTTTTTACTAAAAAAACTTTTTTCTTTCAGATGTTTTTACAAACTCTACAAAAAGTTCTTTTTCTATAAAACCTGATTTACAAAATATTATATGCTACAAAACATTCTTTCTCTAAAAACCTTTGTGTCTATAGTAAGACTACGCTTTAACTTTTTTTTCGCGTGATTATTAATAACTAATTCTAAGTACATAACTATGTACTTTGGTAAGATCATATTTATTACTAGAACATGGAGATGTAACAAAAGAAAAACTTTTTTCAAAATATAAAAAATATTTAATCAAAAAAAATGATGGGCATTTTTGAGGAGCAGCGCGGCTGTTTCTCAACTATAATGAAATTATTTCTTTGTGCAACAGTCTGATGCAGTCGCGCCAAGTTTTTTTGCATTAAATATATTTTATATTTTGTAAAAAGTTTTTCAAAGGTCACGTAACCGCGGTGCGGTCAATGACCTCGGTCACATGACTACGGTGACATATTATATATACATAAAGTTAAAGTATATAGTTTGTACTTATTTTGGGCAAAATTTTAAACCAGTTTATTGAAAAAAGTTATATCAGAGGTGTTGTTGATGCAAAAAAAATCCGTTTTCTGAATTAAATTTCTAACATACATTTAAAGTATATAGTTTCTAGTTATTTAGTGCCAAGTTTCAAAAGAGTTTAATAAAAAAACGTTTTCGGAGGTGTTGCCGGCGCGAAACGACCACGTCGCGATAAGACAGCTCCGCGCCCACCACGGTCGGAGGTATTGCCGGAGTCTGATTTTTATGCAAAATTTGTTTCTTCCGTTTTCTGAATTAATTTTTTCATTCATAAATTTGTGTATCGTATTATTATAAATTTATGCCGGAATAATGCAGTTTTTGCATAATACAATGTATCATCTGACATCAAATATTTTGCTAAACAAGTCTTGGTTTGCATGTAAACATAACAGCCCGACCGCCTCGCCGGTCCACCGTCTGATCACAAAATGACTATTTCTACTTTATCTAGTCTGTTCGAGCAAAACCAGAAGTGCTCTTTGTTTCTAACGTTTGCTTAACGTACCTCACTCCTGTAAAATACATATAATACGTTCATTAACTTTGAAAATTCCTCTCATGTCGAGCATCGCGCAATTCACATGATTACTGCAAAGAGGATTTCAAAAGTTGAAATATAGTTTCCGCAATATGATCTTTTGTTTTCTGTGTACCGTCTGTTTACATGTCACAGGCTCATTTCCGGCTTTATGCAATTTCTATTGTATCCATGAAATTTACTCGTTTATTTGTTTTGATAAATAAATCGGTTCTTTATTGTGTACATATCGCACCGATTTATTTATCGGAATAAACTTCGAAATCATACGTTTTTCTAAAAACAAAAAAGATTTTCGCGCAAACAAAACGCAAATCAAACTCTAGCTTCAATTAATCAAATTAACGATTTAAAGCCAAAATCTTGATAAGAACCGGCAGAATGATTTGTATAAGCTTTCTTTCATTAATTTGATCGATATCTATTTTCGAAACTGTCCGAAATGCAAGGCGTGTCGCGACATCAAGAGACACTATTAAACGAACTGTGCAGATCGTCACGTCTCGGAACTAATCGAGTTGTATCTCTATCGATTGCTGAAAGCGACACACGAGAATTCGAATATCGACGATATTCGCACGTACATGAGGCACATACACGCACTTATATAAATTCCATATCGCGCACGCGCGTTTTTGAGATTATCGGATTGAACAATGTAATATACGCGGCTGTTATACATGCTACTTTCGCTTGTATATTTCTTTAATAGTGTGTTTTTGTTATATCGCTATGAGGTACACACGTGACAAACTAAATCGTCAACAGATCCGATGATAAACCGTACGAGTAAATGTGCGCGCGCTCGTATTCGACGACGAAACGACACTCTTTCTGTGCGACGGCTTGAAATTCAACTATAACGCCGGGGTGCTCATATTGTGTACAAAGTTTAAGGCTTATTGCGACGCGGGCTTTCACGAAAAACGACAGAGATTTCGTCGACGGCGCGTGACTCGGATGCGATACGAAGGATCGCCTTCTTCGAAAAACTCGGAATTTCTTTTCGCTTCTCGATTTCGTGTCAGTCTATCCTTCTTCTCCCCTTCGCATCCCCCGCGGTGATTTCGATAACTCTTTTTTTCGTCTTTTTAATGCGTTACGATCAAAATGGCACGACGCGGGGGCATCGATCCGGCTGCCGTGCCCGCCGACGGATATATGTCCGGGACATTTGTTTTCGCAACGGTCGATACTCTCGACGAGGGGGAGGAAGAGAGAGAGAGAGAGAGAGAGCGGCCAACATTCGCGTGCCAAATGATAAATACTTGATCTCGACTGCGAACGCGCGAAGACAGAAAGTGCGATAAAGTCACGGATAACATCGGCGAAATAAACGCACGTACGTTTCGATACGAGATTATCCATCTTGTTTTCACATATTCGGGAAAACAACCGCAGCATTTATTCAAATTTTTTTTAGCACGTGAAGCAAAAACTCTTTCCTTCCTTTGTGTTACGCGGATACGGAATAAACAATTGTAGTTTTTTTTTTTTTTTTATAAAAATTAATATAAAACAAAAATGTAAAATATCTCGCGCAAAACATTATGAATATCTCATGTAATCGCGGTATAAATTTGCACTCTCGTGTATAGTTTGACATTACATGGCGCTCTAGAGTAAACGACGGATAAATACTTATTTATTTTGAATGAGAAACACAAACAATAGATTCTCTCACTTTGATGGAAATAAACACAATACACTGTATCGATTGCATAGTCTTCGTTATTTTTAGATTTCTCGATTGACTTTTAAAGAGACTGACGTGACATATTCGCTCGAATGCAGATCATATACCTGCGATCGTAGTTATTGGCAGTCAGGTGGCAGGTGTATATGCGCCGGGCAGGAGAGCAACCGTACGTATAACTGGTACAGAGAGCCAATAAAAGTCCGATGGAAAACGATAACGAGCTCTCGTCAATGATTCCATACGGATATGTCTATTACTTTCATCCTCGTTTTCTGATCGCTCGTTTATTTCGGTGTTATTCATTATTTTCGTCTCCGTCGTGCATGCTACGCGAATGTTTGCTTTGGCTTTTTTTTGGGGGTATCGCGTATATATATACCAGTTACATAACACACAGATTGATACTTTTTAAAACATGCCAGCTGCAAGCGACATCGCGCGATATTGTTGCGCGTCGCCGTTCAAATAGAACAGAATAGTTGTGCAAAAAAAAAAAAAAAAAAACAAACAAAAAGCAAAGAAAACAAAAATAAAGTTTACCCGATTAAAAAAGTGATGAAAACACCGGTCGGAAGTTTTACTTTGGTCTCGTTTTGGAATTGATAAATTTTCGAGTGTCTCATAAGAGAGAGAGAGAGAGTGAGAGCCATGGATAAGCCATGTGTACACTCGGCGACTCATCGATTATCTACGTTCTTGGAAATTATTACTCCGCTCTGATAATTTGGAACGAACCCGAGATTCGAGAAACGATTTAATTACCGTGAGAAGTTCCAGAGTCTTAAAGACGCGCAATTTCTAAGGTAATGAAAGAGTCGTAAAGAA